TAGTAATAGTAGAATAGTAACAATAATAGCAATAGTAACAATAGTAACAATATAGCAATAGTAGTAATAGTAACAATAATAGCGATAGTAATAGTAACAATAATAGCGATAGTAGTAATAGTAACAATAATAGCAATAGTAGTAACAGTAACAATAATAGCCATAGTAGTAATAGTAACAATAGTAATAATAGTAGTAGTAACAATAAAAGCAACAGTAGTAACAGTAACAATGATAGTAATAGTAACAATCATAGCAATAGTAGTAACAATAATAGCAGTAGTAGTAATAGTAACAATAATAGCAATAGTAGCAGCAGTAACAATAATCGTCATAGTAGTAGTAGTAACAATAGCAATAGTAGTAACAGTAACAATAATAGCAACAGTAGTCATAGTAACAATAATAGCAATAGCAGTAATAGTAACAACAATAGCCATAGTAGTACTAGTAACAATAATAGTAATAGTGATCATAGTCATAGCAATGGTAGTAATGTTAGTCATAGCCATAAGAGTAAGAACCACAGCAAGAAGAGTAACAATCAGAGTAATAACAATAGTAATAGTAATTACAACAATAATACCAATGGTAATAGTAATAGTAACAATAGCAATACTAATAGTAATAATAACAATAGAAATAGTAACAATAGCCATCGTAATAGTAATAATAGCAATAGTAATGATAGCAAAAAATAGCAATACCAAAGGTACTAGTAATAATGCTACTAGTATTAATAGTAATCACAACAATACTAAAAGCAATAGAATAGCAACAATAGCAATACTAATAGTAGTAATACCAATAGTAATGATAGCAATACCAGCCATAGCCAAGGTAGTAATAGTAATATTGCTACTAGTAGTAATAGTAGTATAACAGCAATAATAGTAATAGCAATGATGGTACTAATAACAATAGCAATAAGACCAATGAGAGTCATAGCCATAGCAGTAATGTTAGTAAGAGCCATAAGAGTTAGAATATCAAGAAAAGTAACAATAAGAGTAATAACAATAGTAATAGTCATAATAATAGCAATGGTAGTAATAGTAACAATAGCAGTGGTAATAGTAATAACAATAGTAATGATAGTGATCACAGCAACAATAGCAACAATAGGAATACTACTACTAGTAGTAATAGTCGTAACAATAGCAATAACAGCAATGATAGTAATAGCCATGGTAGTAACGTAAGTAATAGCAAGAAGAGAACAATAGCAAGAAGAGTAACAATCAGTAAGAGTAACAAGAGTAACAACAATCATAGCAATAGTAGTAGTAATAGTGATGATAGTAATAGCAATGGTAGTAATAGTAACCATAGCAATGCTAATAGTAACAATAACAGTAGTGAGTGATGACAGCAATAATAGCAATACCAAAGGTAGCAATCATGCTCCTAGTATTAGCAACAATAGCAATAACAGCAATGGTCATCATAACCATGATGGTAAGAGTAGCAACAGTAATCGTATCAGCAGTAGTGATGATAGTAATAACAGCAAAGGTAATGATCGTGAGAATGCTAGTAGTAGTCATAATAGTTGCAAAAACGCCAGTAGAGTATTACTAGTAATAGCCATGGTAGTAATGTTAGTAATAGCCATGAGTAATCATACTAATAGTAATTCCAACAATACCAATGATAGCAATAGTAGTATGAACAAAAGCAATAATAGTCATAGCATTAGTAGTAACAGCAGTGGTAGTAATAACAATAGTAATAATGCTAACAGCAACAATAGCAACAATACCAATGGTAGTAATAGCCCTGGCAGTCATGTTAGTAGCAATGAGAGTAAGAACAAGAGTAATCACAGTAGTAGCAATAACACTAATAGCAACAATAGCAATAGTATTTGCAGTAGCAATAATGGTGGTAGCATTCATAGTAATGACAATAGTAATAATAGCAATAATAGCAGTAATAGTAACAATAGTAATAGCAAGAGTACTCCTACGTGTAGTAGCAATCGAAGTCATAACCATACTGAGCAGGATAGTCATTGTTGCTATTGCTATTGTTACTCTTGCTAGTATTACTCATATTGCTCTTGGGATTAGTAATATTATTGCTAGTATTGTTACTATTGCTCGTGCTATTATTACTCTGGTGATTAGCATAACTGTTATTGCTATTATTACTGTTGTGAGTATTGCCGTCGTTGCTATTGTTACTATTACTTGTGCTGTTATTACTCTTAGGATCCCTAGAGCTGTTCTTGCTATGTTTGCTATCATAAAGGTAGCAACAGGAACAACAGTAATAATAGTAGTAGCAATAATAGGAATAACAAACAATAAGAGTAATAGCCATAAGAGCATGAGTAGTAATGAGCACAGTCATGACCGTAACAATAACAGCATGAATAGTAACAGTGATCATAGCAACCACAGCAACAATAGTACAGAATAACCACAGTACAAGCAATCATAGTAATAGCAGAAATAGTAATAATAGCATTGATACTAATAGTAACCGCAGCCAGAGTAATAATGATGGCAGTAATAACAAGAGTAGTAATAACAGGAGTAATAATAGCATGAATAATAATAGTAACAGCCATAAAGCAACCATAATCATGAAAGCAAGAGTCATAATAGCAATAATAGTGATAGCAAGATGAATAATAGTAATGGGAATACCAACAGTAATCATAGCATTAATACGAATAGTGATGGCCATAAAGCAGCAAGAGTAACAATGGCCATCATAGCAAGAGTAATGATAGTAGTAATACCATGAATAATAATAGTAACAGCAATGAAGCAACAATAACAATCAAAGCAAGAGTAATAATAGCAATAGCAACAATAGTAATAGTAGCAATAGCAATAATAATGAAAGCAAGATGAATAATAGTCAAAATAATAATGGTAATAGCAACAGTAATACCATTAATACTAATAGTAATGGCCATAAAATAGCAAGAGTAATAATAACAATAGTAATAATAGCAGGAATAGTAATAGTCACAGCAATAAAGCAACAATAATAAACGCAAGAGTAATAATAACAGCAATAACAGTATTAGTTGCAATAGCAATAATAATGATAGCAATAGCGAGAAGAGTAATAATAGCAGCAATAGTAGTCATAGCATAGCAATAATAGCAAGATGAATAATAGTAATAATAATGGGAATAGCAACAGTAATAATAGCAATAGCAATAATAGGAAGAGTAATAACAGTAGTAACAAGAGTAATAGCAACAGTACTAATAGTCACAGCAGTAATAGCAGCAAGAGTAATAATAGTAATAGTAGCAACAATAGTAATGGTAACAGCAATAAAGCAACAATAGTAATAAAAGCAAGAGTAATAACAATAGCAATAATAGGAATAGCAATAGTAATAATAGCAAGATGAATGATAGTAATAATGGCATTCATAGTAATAGTAGCAACCATCATAATAGCAATAGCAACAATAGGAAGAGGAATCATAGTAGTAACAATAGTAATAGCAAGAGTACTAATAGTCACAGCAGTAATATCAGTAATAGTAACAGTAGCAAGAGTAATCACAGTAATAGTAGCATTAATGCTCATAGTAACAGCATTAAAGCAACAGTAATAATAAAAGCAAGAGTAATAACAATAGCAATAATAGTAATAGTAACACCATCAGTTCCCCCCAAGTCCAGGGTTCAAAGGTGACTCCACCCACCTGTCCCAGGATCCCATCATGAAATAGAAAGGAAGTAGAGAACCAATCCAGGAAATACAGAAGGGAAACAATCCCAGAATAGCAACAGGAAATGACAGGAAATGGCCAAAGAAAAAAACACAGGAAATAAATTTAAAATGAATGGATTTGTGAATGAATTCGTGAATGAATGACTTCCTAAAGGAATGAGTGAATTCTTGAATGAATGAATTTTTGAACGAATGAATTTATGAATTGAATGAATGAATTGTTGAATGAATGAATGGTCGAATGAGTTAATGAATTATTGAACGAATGAATTAATGAATGAATGACTTCATGAATGAATTCTTGAATAAATTGAATGAATGAATTCTTGAATGAATGAGTTTTTGAAGAAATGAACGAATTATGTGAATGGATGACATCTTGAAGGAATGAATGAATGAATTCTTCAATGAATTGAATGAATGATGTCTTTTTTTGAAGGAATGAATTCATGAATGTGTGAGTGGATTTTTAAATTAATTAATTGAACTAATGAATGAGTGGTTGAATGAATGAATGAATGATTGTATGAATGCATTATTAAATGAAGTGTCCATTCAATTAATTCTTGAATGAATTAATTGAACTAATGAATGAATGATTGAATGAATGAATTATTGAATTAATTGAATGAATAAATGACTTCATGAATGAATGAGTTGAATAAATGGACTATTGAATGAATGAATTTTTGAACGAATGAATGAATTGTTGAATGAATGAATGGAATAAATGAATTCTTGAATGGATTTTTGAACGAATGAATGAATTTTTATGTGAATGAATGACTTCTTGAATGAATGAATTCTGGGATGAATTAATGAATCTATGAATGAATGAACTCTTTAATGGAATGAATGAATGAACTGAACGAGTAAATGATTAAACGAATGAATTTATGAACGAATGAACGAGTTCCTGAACGAATGAATTGAATGAATGAATGAATGAATGAATTCTTGGACGAATTAATGAATTTATGAACGAACAAATGAATTCTTTAATTGAACGAATGAATTTTTGAATGAATGGATTTTTGAACGAATGAATGAATTGTTGAACGAATGAATGAATTCTTTAATTGAACGAATGAATTTTTGAATGAATGGATTTTTGAACGAATGAATGACTTTGAACGAATGCATCTCTGAATTAATGACTTCCTGAACGAATGAAGGACCTCTCCCCTCCCCCAGGCTTCCTCAGCACCGGCGACCAGGCCGCGAAGGGCAACTACGGGCTCCTGGACCAGATCCAGGCGCTGCGCTGGGTGGAGGAGAACGTGGGTGCCTTCGGGGGGGACCCCAAGCGCGTCACCGTCTTCGGCTCCGGCGCGGGCGCCTCGTGCGTCAGCCTGCTCACGCTCTCGCACTACTCGGAAGGTACGCCCGCTCCCGCCCCGCTCCCGCCTCATTTGCGCCCCACTTCCGGTCGGGGAACCGTTATTCGTCCCACTTCCGGTCTCAGGACCGTTATTTTCCTCACTTCCGGGTCACTCCCGCCTCATTTCCGGTTCCATCACCTCTCTGCTTCCACCTGAGTCACTCAGGACCGTTATTTCCCTCTCTTCCGGGTCACTTCCGCCCTGCTTCCGGGTCACTTCCCCCTCACTTCCGCCTCATATCCGGTACTAGAACCTTCCCTTGAGCTCTAGATCCATCTAGGACCGTTTTTTGCCTTACTTCCGCCTCAATTCCGGGCCCACTTCCACCTTATTTCCTGTTCCAGAACCGTCTTTTGTCATCCTCACTCACCTAGGACCCTTTTCTCCTCATTTCCGCCTTACTTCCGGGTCACTTCCGCCCTACTTCCGGGTCACTTCTGCCCTACTTCCGCCTCGTTTCCGGTTCTAGAACCTTCCCTTGATCTTTTGATCCATCCAGGACCGTTTTTCCCTCACTTCCGGGTCACTTCCGCTGTACTTCCGGGTCCACTTCCGCCTCGTTTCCGGTTCCAGAACCCTCTTTCGTCCTCCTGAGTTACCTAGGACCGTTTTCTCCTCACTTCCTCCTTACTTCCGGGTCAGTTCCGCCCTACTTCCGGGTCATTTCCGGTTCCAGAACCTTCTCTTGTTCTTTTGACTCACTCAGGACCGTTTTTCACTCACTTCCGGGTCACTTCCGGGTCCACTTCCACCTCACTTCCGCCTCGTTTCCGGTTCTAGAACCTTCCTTTGATCTCAAAATCCATTCAGGACCCTTATTTCCGTTACTTCCGGGTCACTTCCGCCTCACTTCCGGGTCACTTCCGCTGCACTTCCTGTTCCAGAACCTTCCCTTGCTCTTTTTACTCAGTCAGGACCGTTATTTCCCTCTCTTCCGGGTGACTTCCGCCCTGCTTCCGGGTCACTTCCCCCTCATTTCCGCCTCATATCCGGTACTAGAACTTTCCCTTGACCTCTAGATCCATCTAGGACCGTTTTTTGCCTTACTTCCGCCTCAATTCCGGGCCCACTTCCACCTTATTTCCTGTTCCAGAACCGTCTTTTGTCATCCTCACTCACCTAGGACCCTTTTCTCCTCATTTCCGCCTTACTT